GGGGGGGGGGGGGGGGGGGGGGGGGGGGGGGTTCATACGACCACCAGAGCCCCATGTGTGTGTCATACATCAATCATCTGTATGCGCTCTACTTCCGCCTCAGTCATTAGTTTTATTTATAATTTCCCTTACTTTTTCTTTATTATTATTATTATTATTATTATTATTATTAGAGACGCAGTGTTTTGAGATAATCGCCACAAATATGACAATTCGCAACGAAAACAATAACCAAAAATTTTTAAAATAATAAGGCCATGCCCCAGAAACAAAATGAGCATGTTTAAATATAAAAACAAACATTAAAAATTGTGGAAAAATAACATTCAGTTTACCCCAATAATCTGCGGCCATTAAACTCTTCCTTACTATTTTTTTTTAATTATTATTATTATTATTAAAAAAAAGTCCAAATGCTGTGAGATAGCTAATTTTTTGAATTATATTTTTTTCCAGCCATCAGAAGGCATTTCAGAGGTATTTCATGTCACACACACTGAATGTTTTTTTCTCACCAACATCTCCCACTATGGTAGCATGTCGTGCATGCTACGCGTAGAAAAAAAAAGTCCTAAAACTGCTCCTGCAGCCAGCTTTGTCCTTTTTTAAAATTTTTATTTGTTTTGTGCGTCTCACAGTTTCATTTGAATTATTTTCGTTGAAAAACCCGCTTTCTGTTCGCCTTCCAGCTGACACTCAATCCCCCCCCTTCCCCCTACACATCCAGAACACTCCCAGCGCAATTAATAGATTAACGCCGCCGTCATATTATAATTCTTTGCAGTAAATGTGCAGAAAGTCGATGGATCAGACTCTGTTAAAGCCTTTCCTCTTCATTGATCACAAATGATTGGCTTGCTTGTTAAATCCAGGCAGGATCCATTCACGGTCACTGTCCCCCCCCCCATGCAGGTACTATGAAACCGGCAGTATTAAGCCTGGAGTTATCGGGGGCTCCAAACCAAAGGTGGCAACGCCGAAAGTGGTGGATAAAATTGCAGAGTACAAGCGCCAGAATCCCACCATGTTTGCCTGGGAGATAAGAGACCGACTACTGGCGGAGGGCGTCTGCGACAACGACACGGTCCCCAGCGTTTCATCCATCAACAGGTAGGTGGAAATCACTTGTTATCCAGGCGCGCCAAAGTGCGTAAAAGCGCGCTAATCCAACAAGCGAACTTCTTATCTTTAAAGTAAAACCAACGAAATAAATAACATCGGATTGATCATCACAAGAGTAGTTGTTCACTCATCAGGGCTTGAACTATAATTCCAACCCAGCCCGCGCTGGGGGTGGTCCCTCACACGTGCAATTTAATCCCCCATCGCGGCGCGGAGAGCGGAGAGGCTGGGGGCCACGAGGAGTCACATCTGTCCGGATAAAAACCGATCGATAGCTTGTAACCAGATCCAGAGGCAGAGGGAAAGACGCAGGGAAGACGCACAACACGCGGACCACACTGCGGCCGAGGCGTCTTCTTCTTATTAATATCATAATTGTTATTATTATCATTGTTATTATCATTATTATTATTATTATTATTATTATTATTAATAATAATAATAATATTTAGGGTCATATAAACGTGTCTATAAATAGAAAAATATTGACATAAGTGCTGCGCTCTGAATTTTCTTTTTTCTTTTGCGGTACTGAAGCATAAAAGAGATACTATACACCTTCACCTTTTTAACTTGAGGTGGGGCAGCAGTGGACAAAGTGTCCTTAGACAGAGGACGATTCTGGAACACCCCCCCCCCCCCCCCCCCACCCAATGTGTGCAGTGTGAAAGAGAAGAAGAAGAAAAAAAAGGCCGGTAGTGCCTGCCAGTGATGAACTTTGGTTAGGAGGCACTGTTCCAGAGAGCTGGTCATCAGCATTACATTTTAATGAGCTGAAAAGAGTCTCATAACACATCCAGCTAAATGCAGGAAATGGAGGAATCTACACAAAAAAAAAAAAAAAAAAAAAGGGAAAGGGAAAGAAAGAAAAAGAAAGTTAAAGGCTGCCCTTGACATTATTCAACAGGTTTATTTTTGGAGCCTTATCCTCTGTTTTCATTTGCTAATAAAACAGTCTTCTCTTCATTCTGATTGTTTGTGTGGAATATTTCAAAGTGAGCTAAAAGTCTCCTTTAAGACAGAATACTTTGAATGCTAATGATTAACACCAGACTTGCTGCATACATTTACTCTTTCCATCCTTTGTCAATTCCAACTCTTATAAGCGACGCATCCAAAAAGGCAGCTGCCATCACTTTTTATAATCATCTGGAGAGTATTAGTTGAAATTTTGTTTACATTATTAAATAATTAAAAAATTACACCAGCAAATAATAATTTTCACTTTATTTTCTTGTTGTTCTGGCTAAAAAAAAACATGCGACTGACGAAGAAAGAAGGGTGTAAAATGCAGAGAGGAACAATTAGACAGCAGACCACTCACTGGTGGTCTCTGTGGTTAAGACGCTGACCTCTGCTCTGTTGACTAAAGATCTGGGCTTTAAACACTTTTTTCCGTCATGAATTATTAAAGATTACACAGAGACCGGGTTGCACTTTGTTGTGTTGTCGTGAGGAGCTTCCTCTGCCACTGGAAAAAACCCAGATAAGGTGATTGTGATTATATTGATCAACGTTTTAATATTTCTGTTTGAGGTATGTCTCATTTCTTTTTTCATAACAGCTGGACACAAAAGTTGTTAAATGCTCCTCACCGATTGCTTATTCAATACGAACAATACAGACTCGAAACAAAGTCCTTGAATTTATGAGACTCCCCCAAGTCAGGTCAGGTAACTGCTGTGAGATGATGATCAAATAAAATATTGATGTGTGTTTTCTGGAGGACTTTGTTGCTCGGCCCGAAGGAGAAAGTGCGGAGGACACATGAGGTAGCGAGGAGAATGAAATCAGTCTGATGTACATATATCTGCCCCTGAGGAAGTTAACCCCTCACCTGCCCAACTCAGAACTGATAGTTGATTCTTGGCTGCTGCACGAACAAGTGAACATCAGTCGCTGCTGTGACATTCTGTTCTTGTCACGCCATTCAAATGAAGGGCTTTACATCTGGGATTTGTGTTGCCATGCGGTGCTGCTTGTTAATCAATGATCTCATGTTCTCCTGTCAATCAAAAGATTATCATAGTTGCGGTTTAATGGATCAAATCCTAAAGGAGCAAAAGCTGAGTTTGTGTAAACCCTAAAGAATTCTAGAAATCATCAACATAACCTTTGGAACTGTTTGTTTCTAGAGTTTCTTCATGTTGTGACACGTTTCTGGTATAGATCAAAAGATGTGGCACTGCTCTCAACTATTTCCTTCCTGTCACATATAATTTATAGAGCACCATTTGCAGATGCTGCTCCTCATCAGCATCCGTCGTCAAACTTTGCTCCAGTTCCGGTCGATAGGCTCTTTGAGGCTGGAGGACTTCTCTATCCTAAAACCACAGAAATACAGAACAATGTGACCAAACAGAGAAAGAATGGATAAAATGAAATGAGGGTTTTGAAAGAAAAATGTGAGAAAGTACAGTAGCAACAATGGACTGTAAAAGATGAGATAAGAGGACAGAGGGAAGGGAGTGAAGGATCGGTTTGGGAGGTGGAGGAAGAAGAAGGCGCAGGGAGAAAAGAAGGGAGCGGGGAGCAGGAGAGGGAGATTATTAGAGTTGGCCAGGTAGAGCCAGTGAAGCTGATCATTGAGGTGAATTGATGTGATTTCATGCTTTGTTTGCAAGATCATTCAGACCAAAGTGCAATGAAGACTTTCCCGCCACATCACATCTTACTGGTATGGGGACTTTATCATATTTCTAAGCGCAGAATCCAGCTAGATTGAATCCCCAATCTCAAGGGGCCAGCTCTTATTCAGCTGCACACAGGAGCAGAGAGATTGCCCCTAAAGCCCAGAGATTGGCTATCAGTGGCAGTGGCCTGAATATGAGGATACAAGCACCCTGAAACAACGGAGCACTTGTCCATGCACAGACATAAGTGGATGTGATGTGTCATGTTTAAGTGTCCCAGCTTGGCTGCTTTGGTGGGAAATCTCAACGCTCTGGGAGCAGTATTGATTGATCCATGTCTGTTGTTCACTTCATCAGGATTATCCGCACCAAAGTCCAGCAGCAGTTTCACCCGTCCCCCGACGGATCTGTCACACCGCTCTCCACGCCTGGCCATACCATAGGTGAAGGTGCATTCAGTCAAACGAACCAATGACAATGGGGGGGGGGATACAAATACATGAACACTCAGACACTAACTGTGTTTTCTCTGCCAGTGCCCAGCACAGCCTCCCCTCCTGTGACCAGTGCCTCAAACAATCCCGTTGGATCCTACTCCATAAACGGCATCCTGGGTATCCCCCGCTCCAACGGCGAAAAGAGGAAACGGGATGATGGTGAGGAAGACACAAGAGACGCTTTTAGTTTTCTATCCTTTGAGTCCACTTCAACGCTCATCTTGTACTTTTTTTATTCCTTGTGTGTGAAGAAGTTTATGACAGCGCTGAAGCCACGAGTGTTTCTGTGTGTTTTCTCCAGTGACTTGTTATGTTGCGTATCTGGCAGGGCGAGTGTTCAGGGAGTGCTGTGATTCAGGCATGTTTCTTTACCGCACAAAAATGACCACAAAGTGGCATCTCTATTTGATACCATACTCGAACCAATTCTTGACGCCCTCTATAGCTGTTGTACAATTTTAATCCCCGTTGGCAAGACGTCAGCACTGCTGCTCTGTCATTCCCGAAGGCAGAAAAACTAAAAACCCTTTTCTGATCCTCTATCTTCTAGTTAACTTCTTGTCAGTTAGTAATCTGCAAATACACAAACGATTTCCGTTAAATTGGAGCGTGGTGATAAATTATAAAGATGCAAAAAATGTGAAAGGCACAAACAGACTGAAAAATAGACACAGATACACTCAAAGATTATGAAGTCAATCCAAGCTAGATTTTCTCATTCCTAGGCAGAGCGAGAAAGTGGACACGCTGCCTGAGGGCTAATAGATTATCGGTTGTGCAAACAATTGGCTTTTTTAATGCCTATGAATTAACATGTCCCTGGTGGAGGCCTGAACAGGTGTAGGAACAGACCGGTGGAGGCAGGGAAGGCGCTTGCTTGTGTGTTTGTGTATGTGTGTGTTCAGTTATATGCTTTAAATGTGGCTGATGGGATGATATGGTATAAAATAATATCAGAACGCACTGAAAACAGTCCACTTCCTTCTTTTGTTTCTGTCTCTTTAGTTCTCTGGAGTGGCAACCACTTGGATGGAAGGAAAATAGGACATTGTAAGTTGAAGTTAGACAACCTTCTCTTTTGCTTTCAGACCATATATGCTCACTTTTCACATGCAGATTTTTTTATATTTTTTATGCTACGAGCTTTAAAGGTGTGGTGGGGAATTTTTTTTTCCCAATATATAATCTCTTGAGAAATTTAAAATAAATTAAGCTAAAGTGACTGTGGAAAATCCTATTTTCCATGTAATGGCATGCAGTGCAGTACTAATCTACCGTGCAGCATTTTATAGAGTGGCTGTGGATTTAAATAAAATGAGATGCAATGTAAGACCTTAAATCTTTTGACATTTCTGTGACAAAACTGTGTAGCTTTTGTGTTTGGTGTTTTTTTTTTTTTTACTTTGAAAAAATCGGAAGCATTGTTTTTGATATAGCAATTTGAAATGTGTGAGCCGTTTGAAGCAAATTTCACATCATGAAACGTTTCATTGCAAGACAAATCCACAACTGCATGGAAAAGTAAGGAGTCGCCTAATTGCAGCTTCAGATTTTGACCTTCTTTTAGAATATTCTGCAAAAGACTCAGCATCAAATCAACCATTTCAAGCTTGAAAGTGTCACATGATGATTCTGCTTACACGTTATAATTCTGTCTGGGCTTTATAACGACGCATCCCACCGTCCTTGCACCGTGTTGTGAACATGTTGGCTTGTGCACCTTGTGTGACTGAAGTCAGTGGATGCCCTTTTAGGAAGAAAAAGGTCCCCATTACTGCAGGCCTGTAGAGATAATGTAGTGTGACATGCGTTATGTACACCTGGTCCCCGTAAGACCAGCCTCAGGGACAGAGGCGCCATAAGAGCTATTAATCTGTCCCTGTCATGTATTATTGCAAATTAAAAGTAGCATGTTACATTGGAAGGGTTTGAGGTAAGATGGGAGGAGGATAATGACAGACACAGGAGTCGTGGAGTAAAAATAGGATGAAGCAGACCTGAGCAAGGATTAGTTTTAGGAGTTGTGGAAGCGTTGTATACTCACATGTGCTTGGAAACGTGTTTGTGTGTAACTTGCTGGCTCGAGATGCTCCTCTCACAGAGAGCACAGTGACATTTTAAAATAATTTACAATTCTGCAGAGAAAAGCTATTAATTCACAAATGAACCCGCTCTTCCCCCGCCTTCTATCGTGGATGTGCAAGCTATTGAAAAGACAAAAGAAATAGCCTTAAGGGAAGAAAAAAAAGAGAGTCTCAGTTCTATCTGTGGAGAGATTGGCTTGCATGTCTGCAAGCAGAGATACCAATTAGGCCAGTGCTGGGAGAATGCGTCTCAATGCGCTGCTCTGCCTCCTCCTCCTCCCACCATCATCACCACACACACCAGCACCACCCCGCTCTGAATCCATCCATAGCCAGATTTATTTGTGTATCTCATTACAGGGAATGGAATGTTGTTCCTGCCAAATGCATTAATAGTAAAGTGGGGAAATTAGCCTGTTGTACAGCTTGTTCTCACTCACTCATTTAAACCTATAATGGAAGATGAAGCCAAGAAAAGTCAGGGAGGATTGGGTGAAACTGCTGAGTATAAAATGCGTGTGTGAGTGCAAAAAGTTAATCCTCCAAAAATGATTTTGGTGTAGTTCACTTCTGTAATCTGTGCAGTTTTTCCTAAAGAAACTTGTGTTTTGGGGCTGACACAGTTGCTGTTTGCAGTCAGGTTGATGTGACCTGACGGTATATTTTCTCTCATCACTGGCTTACCACATCCTGGACGGAGCCCAGAGGAGCTCCAGGGAGGACAGGCAGTAGGGAGCTACAGTGATAAATTAGATGGAGAAAGCAAAGGTCATAACTTGTGATTGTAGCGTGGGTGTGAGACGAGTCTAGAACGACGCTCATGAGTGTGTGAGAGTTGAGAAAGAAATATTGCCCAGCAGGTTGTTCTTTCAAGACACAAAAGAACGAGCTGCAGCGGGGATCAAATCAACCTTGCTTGATAGCTTCAGGAAAAAAAATAATATCTGTTTTGATTTGTTTACGTTTGACATCCCCCCCCCCCCCCCCCCCCCGGGATCTTTTAACACATATGACCCATTTGCAGAGTTTAAATCAGTTAGTGTATGGATTTTAACCTGGGCCTATGCTTTGGTTGACTAGTCAAGCCACTCCATGACAATGAGTCAAAAGAGGATCACTTTTAGAAAATAAATGCATCCAGAGTGAGACAGAAAAACAGGAATCATGAGCACTATAATGGCCCTGATAGGCTGAGTGTGAGAGAAAAGCCCAGGTTTGAGAGGGGCCACAGAGCGTAACATACAGACAAGAAGCTGTTAGGTCCCTGACAGAGGAGGAGACACAAAAGGGGTCCTTGCTGCTTTCCTCCCCCTCCTCCTTCTCTCCTCTTTCTCCTCAACATTTCATTTCTCCTTGTATTGTCCCCGTCTTCTTCCTGAGCCTACTGGTTTGAACGTTTTACATCAAGCGGCATGACTGTTCGAGACCGCAGCTACAGTTGTAAACAATACGCAATAAGACCGCTCACAAAAATATATAAAGAGGGAGCTCACTCTGTGGAGAGGAATCATGTCGGAGAAAAGTCAATTATGGGAAGCAACGGTGAGAATTAATGGAGCGATGCGTTACTCAGCTTGAGGAGAGGGGGAAAAGGCACGAGAAAAGTAGAGATTTGTTAATTGCATTTCCAGAAATACTTGCCACACGGGGTGGCCACGTTAAACGACAAGCTGGTCCCAAGGAGGGAGGTTTTTGCAAGAAAAAAAAAAATCTGATAGAAAACTGGAGTTTAGGTTCAAGAGGTGTAAAACTGTTTTGAAAGATGCTAAAAGACATGTAAAAATATTAGTTTTGACATTATATAGTCTTACAGACATACACTGTATTCGTCTGAAAATGTTTACATTTTTGCAGAGACACTTTGAGAGAAAAGACTCAAGTGAATCAAGTTGTGTTTGTCATATGAAAGGTTAACACAGGGTTAACAGCACAATGAAATGCTTAGGATGAGAAAAACCAATATGACTCGTTAAAAAAAAATCAAAGAACAAACCAACAAGAAATACTAAAAGCATGCAATAAGGGTACACAAAAAAAGTACCAAAAAGTGAAAAAGTAATTATAATATTTGCAATGTCGTAAAGAGAGATATCGAACAACATGGTAGAATATAATGGTGCAGCAGGATGAATTTGAATGAACAAATATTTCAAGGTATAACTTCACATTTACAAGCCAGCATGCTTAGATGTGTAACGTTATGTTCTTACAAGCTGAGTTGGTATGCTTTTATTTATTTTATTCATTTATCATAAACTTTCTGCTTTGGTCTTGGAGCATAAAGCGAGATCAAGAAAATGCTACGACACCAACTCAAAGCTGCCAGTGAGAGCAGATTTCAAATAAGCATCGGTCTGCCTGCTGACAGTCAGTACATTGGTTGGCGGTGCTAAATCGAATTAATAAAGCTCTTAAACACGCCACAACATAACAGGATCTTAACAGCCATGGCAGTGTTGCTGCCTCTCGCTTTCCCCCCCGCCCCACCCAGCTCTCTCTCCTTTCCGCTTCAGAGGTTTCATAAATATAGCTAGCTTACAGGGAAGGAGTGTTCACCCTCTGGATATACCCATTTGTTTGTGCTTTTCTTTTTCTTTTTTTTTTCTGAGATCAACAGCATTTTAAATATTATCAACAAATGATCCACACTTTGCAATTGAGCATCTCTCCACCTCAGTGTATTACTGATTCGGGATCTGTTAACTCGCAGCCTCTGATCTAGGAAAGCCCACATGTCATTGATTTATAGAGGGAGCCAGGCAGTGTGTAGGAATTCATTTGCCTTTCAAACAAGCCTCCTCCTCTGGTCTTCTGTTGAGTTATCTTATCACAGGAACAGCAAAGATGAAAGAGGGACATTTAGTACCACTGTGCCACACCGAGACACAGACAAGGGAAAATATAGGAGCTTTGGATGCCTTTATGTTTGTAGCAGCTACGGTTAAGTGTGTATGAGTAATTTTGTGCATGCACAGCCATTATTAGCCTGGTGACACACACAAAAAAAAGTTTAAATTGTGTCTGCATTTGTTCTGAAGATGCACCATCTAAAACATTTAAATAAGATCATGAAATGCTCAACTTTTGGACTAAACAAGGTCAAACAGTTCAAGCGGATCAAAAGGAGTGTGTTCCAGATATGACGTGTGAGAGTCATCCTGTGAGACGTATGTTTTTACCTCCTCACACACTGGTGTTAAAACAAAAAGAAGCAGTGAGCTGGTGCTCCGGGAGTGATAAGAGAATACCTGCTGAGACACCCGAAGGGGTTGAAGAAACACTCACACGCTCGCAATCTGACAGTCGGGCTTCACACTCCACTTGACGCGCTGACTGTCAAGGAATGAATCTGATTTATCGCAGCCATCTTATGATATATGTCGAACATAAACGCTTTAATAGCAAATTTTGAAAGTTATGAGTCAAAGTTTATATCTCAACTTAAAGGAGAAACCATATTTTAAGTCACATAAATTTCAAAGCGACGATGATTAGTCAGAGTCAATGTGTAAAAATGCCTACCAGGTAGTTAGCAGCTTCCAAAAATTGGCTTTTTTGATTTTTAACGTGAAGGTTTTATTCATATTTAGCTCACAGGAAGTGCACCAAAATGTATCGTGATGGGAATCTGTGTTTTCTGCTGCTAGGTCAGAGGGCTTGATTAAGTGTGTGGGGAGAGGATAAGCATGCACCTCTGTAGTGAATGACAAACACTTGCTATTGATCAAGGTTGCCTCTTTTATTAGACCAGCTCACACGAGGTAATTAATGAATCCATTTTCTCCTCTGTACCACAGACAGCAATTGAGTTTTGTACAGGAACACCACTGCACCACAGCCTAGGGAAAAAAAAATCTAAAATATTCTGTTAACTCCTGGTAGGAAAAACACATCTAGCTGGAACAAATACAATTCCTTTAAAAAAAAAAAAAAAGGCTACACAAAGATAAAAAAAAGTCACCCTCCTATCGACACGTACACTGAACTCATACCCAATTGCCGTCTTCTATCCCATTCTCTCAATGGATCTATTTCTTGGTGCGAATCGGGTTCATCCTCTGGCCTCAGCCATTGAAAAAAGGTCAAGCAGCCGAGCAGAATGGCAATATCGCCCCTGAAATGGTACCATCAGTGGAACATGATTGATCAATTGAATTCCATAGCACAGAAAAATGTGGGATTAAGTAGAGTATTATACGCACAATGAGTTGAGGCATGATGTTCATTCCAAGTTCATTTCGCCTCCCTCCTCGGCGAGCGGATCAGGCAATCAATAGAGGCCTTGCATATCATATATCACTGCTGCCTCACCCAGGAGAGAACATAATCTGCTGCAAATTTAGAATGACAGATTTGTACGGGAGCTAAAGCCCTCATCCGCTGTTGGTGGCGCAGTGTTGGGAGGAAAGGGAGGGCGGTGGGAGGCAGCCAATGGAGTGAAGGTTCCTGGAACGCTGGCTGCAGGTTTTAGCTCTGGACTTTTTTTTTCTTTCACACTCAGGACATGATGTGAGCAAAGAAAGAAATGCAGTGGTGGCGGTGGACTACCCATTCTAGTTGATGGGGTCAGAGATCAGAGGAACGAGGAAAGCTCATTTGTTTATATAGTGTGTGACCAAGTGAGGAAATGTATATGCTTGCCCTCAACGCCCCATCCTCATTCGGTCCTGAGTGCCATCCCTGTTCTATTCTGCTTTCCAAAGGACATGCTATATGTGGGGGATGGAAAGAGAGAGAAAAAGGACAGAGAGAGGGGAGGGTAATACATTCAGAAGGAAATAGTTCAGTTAAATAATGGTTTTCCATTTCCCACTGGCAGAATGAGAGGCTCTGGATGTAATCGCCAACCCTACTTTCTCCTCCTGAAACACACACTCTCTCTTACAAGTATATATTTGCACTGAAGGTAATCCATCAATTACCATAGACCTATCACATGATGACCATGCTGATGGGGGCTGCATGGAGTGTTGGGGGGCGGGGTCAGCTTGAGTGTGTACATGTAAGTGTACAATCAAAAGAGAGTGACTCAGATAGCTTTATGCAATCACACTAATACTAAAAGAGACCCTGAAAATGTTTTGTTCTTATCTCACTCATTGTGTCGCAACCATTATATGTGAAGGGGACAAGTCCCCCCCACATTAAAAAAACATTAATTTGGACCCCCCCCACACACACACACTTTTACTATGAAACATTTGTTCAGGCGGTGCAGTTTCTTTCTTCATGAACAAATCCATTCCACTTGATTAATAGGAGAATATTCAAACCGCTAAAACTCCACTCCAGGTTTTCCTGATTACTTCCAACTCTAAACACAGCAGCCTGTTGCCACAGTCACAATATACGGTGGTCACAGAAAATGGTGTAACACCTGCTGTGTTTCTGTGTGTCTCCTCCTGCCTCGGCAGAAAACGCGCACAGGTGGAGGAGGTGGAGACACCTCTGTGTTACTCGCTCGCCAGTTTAGCAGCTTAGTGTGGGCAGTAGTTGACCGGTGGGGTTGATCATAAACATATATATTCATGTTAGGAGGATGCTTGAGAGGAGCGCTACATAGCATGTTAGCTTAGCAGTAACTGTGACGCTGTAAGACGCTGCAGGTGTGAGACACTGTGTGTTCAGATGCATTAAAGTTGAAATGTCTTTAAACCCCCACACCTTATTGTCCTCAAGCTTCATGAGAAACATCATTTAGATGAGGAGTGTTGAACACAAGTAAAAATGTCTAGTGGTGATGTTTTTTATTTCTCTATAAAGACAAATAGTGCTGACCTGACGCTCTGTATTAAAGTGTATTAAAGTTAAAATGTCTTTAAACACCACAGCTGAATTTACACAAACTTGGTGAGAAACATGTTTTAAAAGTGTGGAATTAAAGGAAATCTAAGTGAAACGTTGCTTTTTTGTTCAATAGTGAACACATTTTTTTTTTTTACACGCGCACATGCACACGCGCACACACACACCTACACACATCATTTTGTCCCCCCCACATTACGGATGCTTCTGACGCCATTGATCTCACTATTTAAGCTTACGTGGAAAAGTAATGTCTTGATGCAGATTGCTCTTCCTCTTCCTTTCATTTCTTTAGATGGTTCTGATGGTTCAGGCCCGGGCAGTGACTCTCAGGGCAGCGTGGAAAGTTTAAGGAAGCACCTTCGGGCAGATGCCTTTACTCAGCAACAGTTGGAGGCCCTGGACCGAGTGTTTGAAAGGCCTTCTTACCCTGATGTTTTCCCCTCATCAGAACACATTAAGCCCGAACAGGTTTGACACCAACATTTATTAGAGCAAAATTTTCTTTATGAGGCTTTTGAACTGTCATTTTAACACTGCAGCTCTTAAAGTATCATATTTTCTGGAGTATAAGTCGCAGTTTTTTTATTTATCAGTCATGCGACTTATACGCTGAAGCGACATATACGTTTTTTTTTTTTCATATTCCTAACGCAATTTTTGACTGACGCTTTAAATTTCTAAGATCTGCAACAGCGAGTCCTCCCGTGCACTCTCGCTTAACTCAGCTGGTGCAGACGGAGGAACGCTGGAGAACTAGTGGCTCAGGCCGCGATGGATGGATGGATGGCGTCACGCCGCCAAGGCAAAATGAAGCTGTTTTGACCATTAAAGTGCATTTATTAAAGAAACATTCAACTGAGACACACCTTTGCTATAATGTCAAGCAAACAAATAATTGTTTTTAAGTGTTAATCTTGTTAAATTATTAAGAACTGCAACAGCGAGTCCTCCCGTGTGTGCTTGCTTCACTCAGCTGGTGCAGGTGGAGGAATGCTGGAGAGCTAGCTGCTCTGGATGCGATGAATGGATAGATGGCACCTTGCCACCCTGGCAAAATGAACTATTTTGACCATTAAATAAACACATAATAAATGTGACGGGTCAGCTGTGATGCATAAATGCGACTTATACGCCAAAGCGACTTATATATGTTTTTTCTCTTCGTGATGCTTTTTTTGAAAGATGCGACTTATACGCCAGAAAATACGGTACTCTTTCCAGAAGCAACAGAACTAAATACAGTGTAACTAATTGTACAGAATCAGGATGTGCTGGTGCAGATCCTCAGCCCGTAGGACATTGTAATGCTAACAAACTGAATCAAACGCATTTGGACTTCTTTTTTAACTGCTGAAGATGATATGCTTCTGTTCAAGAAGTTTTCTCATTTGGATTGAACACTAAATTTTTTGAAGGGTTGAAAAAAATGTGTTTGGTAAAAAATCATGCTGCTGGAAGCATTGTCCTGCATTTTGATCTGGATATAGATCACCTCCAAATTTTTCATACAAAGAGCTATGTCTGTTTGATTATATATATATATATATTTGCTTACATTAGTTAGTTTTTGCAGAGTTTTAGCCAACATCTATGCAGACAGTGACACCAGTTTGGTACATGTTTACTCATAATGTCCTGATGCATGCTCAATAATCCAGGTAGAAAAGTCTAACAAGGTTAAGTCAGGTCCTCTGGACAGATTCTTCTTTGTTGAAACATTTAGTCTTTTTTTAAAATTATTATTAGACCTTTATTTATACAGGTTAGTTCCCACTGAGCCTCGAAGACTCATTTACAAGAGACCTGTTACATACAACATACAGGCAGATGAGAAAAAGAGAACACAAGGGTGGAGGAAGCCAAATAAAATCATGTCTCACACCATGTCCTGGCCTGGAAACAGTGTGAAAGATGCAAAAACAAAGACCTTGCAACATAAACAGCAACATACAATGACATCATAATACTTTTATGCATAGAGCTCAACGAAGGTGGTGAGTTATCCATGGAGACTCCAGAAAGTTCTAAAGTTCTGATAAGATGGTACAGTGTCTATCAGCATCATGGTTCTGATAAGGCCAGAGACGTCCTCGGGGGTGGGGGGCAGGCAGAAGCTTATAGTTTACATATTGTCCAGGAAAAATTTGAGATAAGTTAGCCTGTCCAAGCCAGAAGGGAGGCCCAATTCAGATAAACAACAATTGTTTGGGCCGCCAGACTTTGTTTTCTGTCTATGTGCTGGTGAAGATTCTCAGTCATCCAGGACATGATAAATTCCAAAACGTTCAATACAAAAACAACTGGACTTTTTTTGTAACAGAAGACATTTCGCTCCTCGTCCTCGCTCCTCGAATGAGAAGCGAAACGTCTTCTGTTACAAATAAAGTCCAGTTGTTTTTGTATTGAACATTTTTGAATTTCTGTCTACCTTCAGTTTTGCTGGTACACTTAATGGCGAATTAATCAGCCAGATTTGTGGACATTCTGCCCGGTCCATGCTCGTTAGCTTTCTCCAAGGTTGAATCCTTAATGCCGGCAAGTCCCATGAGCCGCAAGTGGCTTATAATTCTCAGATATAGCATCCAGCTTGTGGTTGAGCTCAGTAAGCATATGAGTATGAGAGCTCAAGGCACAAATTAATCCTTCGCATAAGGCTGGCGGCTTTACCATGGCCAAAACTGCTGCCAACGTTTTCCTAATTTGTCAATATCCTAGGTATCCTCCAATTCCAAAAAGCAGAAACCCTGTTTTCATAAATCCAATAATGTACACATCTTCTACGTCCTCCACAGACAGAACAGATAGGCATATCATCTTCCACTCACCCCAGGAATCAATGAAATACCCAGCTGCGTGGGGCCGTTCAGGGCATGAGGGCTCTCCAGCACCCTGTTGTCTGGTGGAAAAAATTTTATCCATTGCGTTGAGGGACCAGCTGACCAAATCCATAATAATTTTCTATTTAGAAGCTGTGTAAAGAGAAGCTCTGAGGTTGACAGGACAAGAGAGCAAAAAAAAAAAAAAAAACAGGAGGGAATGTAAGAGCGACCATCTTTGTCGAGAGCGAAAGAGAGAATGTGACTTCTTCAAACTGAAGAAGTCTGAAGATAAGAAGATAAAAAACGAAACGTTTCAATAAATTAGAATCCATCCAAGAGGATTTAAATTTGCTCATAATGTTTTTGCTATAATTCCAGTTCAGATTCATCTGGATTTTAATTGTACCATATCAGGTTTTTAACATATTCATTTCTGATTAAAATGTGAGATGCATATTCATCACAAAATTATTATTTTTTCGCCACAAAGCAACATTACATTTTATATTGAATGAAAATCACCGCAAAATAGCCCACAAGTCTACAGCCTATTACAGAGGATAAGCTTTATTTACATTCATCAGACTGTTAAACAACAAGAGACTATTAATTTTTCCATTGGAACTCTGTGTGGGTGCCCGTGCAGCCTTAGCAGTGCCCTAATTGAGTTCATTTTCATCTCTGCGCGATCGTGGGGAATTACAGCGGCGATAAATCAGAGGGACAGCCCCTCAGCCTGCTTTACAACCCCTAATGCAGCTAATTACCAAAGTGATTTCTACGGCAAGATCAATACCAAAACGAATTGGAAATGACTTGCAATCACAAAGACTGGAGGAGAAGGTATTAAAAAGGCGAGAGGGGGCTGGAGGAAGGGGGAGAAAAATGGCGTCAGAATGGTCCAGAAAAATCAGTTTTAATTTAATGTAATATTAATCAGACTGCTTTCCACTTTTTCTGTGCACCTCCTTTTTCTGCCTGTTTCCAACACCCCCTCCTTTTCTTAAACTGGTGAAAAGGTGGGATATTAGGCCATTAGAGGCTTGTCTGGTGTCTGCGTCAGAGCATTAAAAAGCCATTTTGAAGAGGCAAGGCTGAATAGGCCTCATCCCTCCCACACTTCTGGCAGCCATGTGGTCAGGTCATTCAGGCCCCCTCTGTGCTTGCCACTCGCCCTCCGCCCAACCCTGCCCAGCCCTACCCACATCCCATCTGCATGACAAAATGGCTCTTGTGCTGCGGAGGCCCAATGGAATAGAGAGGAACATCCAGCCCAGTGCCAGGGAACAGTTGTAAGGAGACAATTAGAGTTTATCTGGGATAGAGGCAGACAAGACTGGGGTCACCAGCTCGCCCCTGTGGGACCCCCAACCCATTGAGACAAACAGATGCACACACGCATTCTGACACGAACGCTCGCATACACAAATGTGTGTGCAAACACTTATCCTTTCAAAGAAGATCAGGAAATGTCATCTCATTAACAAATAGGATTCATCGCAACTGCAGAGTCTTAATCAGAGATTAAGGTGAATAAACCAGAAGGGATTGTATCTTCAGTGAGTTTTTGGACAGCAAAATGTGAAAGACGACCGGAGTTAATATTTTACATTGCAATGTAAAATACAAATAAAGGCATTAAAATGGAACCAATTATATGAGGTCATCCAAGAGGCAAAGTATAAAAGTTGATTTTTAGGTTGTACTCCCCTTTTTCTTAAAAAATAAATACATAAAAAGAAATGAAAAAATAAGAAAGAAAAAAAAAAAAAAACACCACATGTCTCTCCTGTAACAAAGCCCTGAATGTCTCCTCCCTTGACTGGTCACAGGGATGACTGCAGTGGAGCACAAAGAGCCAGCTGACACCCCGTCCTTTCACTCCTCTCCCAGTCCCTCTCTCATCCATCTCTCCCGCTCTGCCTTCTTCTCAGACAAGCCCTAATGCATGCATACATCATCACAGGTCGTAGTAAAGCATAGGGAGCAGAGACGGAGGTGACGTTTACAGAAAAATTTCGATGGAAACATGGCGAGAGGACCACAGATATCCCAGAGGTGTCAGTCAATTATATTTTATGTACTGTCTCCTAAATTGGGGGAAATCTGCTGCGAATCTGTCATTCAAAAAGAGCTTGTGGACAGTGCATGAGCAATATTACCCAGATCGTGACTTGATCTTTGGTGGAATGTGATATTTAAAAAAGGCAGTTGCTGTTTTTGATTGCCACCTGCTCACGTGCGTGTATTTGTCCACAGGCAAACGAGTACTCTCTCCCGTCGCTGAATGCCGGCCTGGAAGACGTGAAGCCGAGCCTCTCCACCAGTGCCAGCTCCGACCTCGCTTCCAGTGTCTCACAGAGCTACTCTGTTGTGACAGGTACAATCTGATGCACGCTACATTGATTCCTGAAAGAATGCATGCAGGTGCAGCAGTGAAAGACATCCACAACCAAGGTGGTCAGTGCTGAGAAACATAAAGCAGAACAATGTCTTCTGTGTCTTATCAGCCTTAAAAAAAAAAAAAACTTTCTGTCTCCCTTTACTGAACTAGTTCAGCTGTTTTATAAAGTTACACAAAATACTAACACAGAACTGAATCAAACTTCGCTCCAGTATATTTATTTGGGCAACACAAAACACAATGGCTGAATAATGGTTTCAGAGAAGTGGTCATTCTCATTTATTTGAAAGGTTTGGTGAGTTTAGGTTCATACTTAAGATAGAAAATTCTACGTATTCACCCCTTGGATAAAATCTGCTGTTTTTCCCTAAATAATATTTAAATTAAGATGCCAAACCATTTTCATTGAATGCTTCACAAGTTACTGACCCTCAGACCAGAACATCCTGGAGCAACTGATGAGCCTGACCAAGCAAGCATTTTAAAATGTGTTTAGGAATGGAGAACATTTTTTAAAACAGTCATCATTCATCATGATCTATTGCAGGGCTATCCAAATCAATTGCTCAGGGGGGCACGGTTACTGAAAGCCCGGTTAAAATCTAGTTTTATTTAAAAATGGACCCACTGGTGGGCAGAACTGAGCTCACCAGTGGACCAGATTTGGCCCCTGGGCTGCCAGTTGAATAGCCCTGATCTATTTGTTTAGATTTTGGAAGTGGTGTTGCATGATGGACTTCCAGTTCAAGATTTTGAATGTCCAATTTTATGACGTCCTAAATGACTTGATTGCTGCTTCAAACAAGGAAGCGAAATGGTAAATAGTAGAGTTATGGAGAGCATAGATGTATTTGCAGCTAATTTAATCACATTATTAGCAGAATCCTTATATCAAGTCACTTCTGTGTTAGCTAATTACCTGGTGCCATTGTTTTTTAAATTGGGAGGATTTCACTTTTGTGCTGCTTTAACAAAGAATAAACAAGTTCGGAAGAGGCTGTAGGTATTTTGCCACAGATTCATCAACAGTTTGACCGACACTCTTATTAGTGAATTTTACAAACACACATTTAAAGCTCTTTTTGAGGCACTGAGGTGACACACCATCTGAGCCCATTAAATCCTGCAGGTCTTTCAAACGCTCAGCTCCTAACCTCCTAACAGGCTACTGTGTTAGCCCAGATTGGCTCGCTAACAGATTGACTGGGAGTGTTTCTCGTAAAAGACAGCTGCTGTTCTCGCCGCTGCACGACACTGTCATCAAAGACTATCATGGCTCGTTGATTGACAGCAGCTGGAATGGCACAGTGGATGAGTGGCTGGTGCTGCGGACAGAGACTGTCAGGGAAGAATAAAAAACAATGGAAGAAATACAGCACTTAAAGTTTGTTTTTTTTTCTTGCACTCTCTAACTTTTAAGCTGTTTTTAAGTTGTAATATCCACTTCAAGTCAATAGGGATTTGTAGGCTCAGAGTAACTGTATCGTTTTACCTACACTCTCTGAATTGCTCCTCGGCTACTTTTGCTGAGCTCTCCAGGTTGATGGCCACCTGGATAATTGAAATATTGCTTCACTGTGTGAGCTGAGGCCCTTTCCCAGGAGGGGTTAGGTTTACCGATGGCCACACTGACTCCCTAAATGCACCAGGGTTTTAATAAAAGTCCCATAATGATGCAGTGGGAATCAAAGTCAGTGAGTGCAGTCTGTGTGTGTATGTGTGTGTGTGTGTGTGAGAGAGAGGGTCAGAAAGGAGGACAGCATGATTGAAAACTGCAGTCGCCCATCTCATATGAACCCTGTAGTCCAGCCCCAGACTCAGGCACAGAGTGATGGGAAAAGAAAGACCCCCTTTTTATTCCTGAAAATGTGGGAGGTAGCTTTTCCCCGGAAAGTTGGGCCTCAAGAGAAGAAAGGTGTGTTTTTGTCTTTGTATGCTGAGCTCCTCCCTATAAAAGTGGTCTCGCTCTGGGGAGCAAACTCATAGCAGGTGGCCTCAGATCCACCTGGGGGCCCAGGGTCTCGTAAAGAACCACAGATTGCATTAAAAGAAGGAAACTAATATAACTTTCCTGAAAATGCAATATGACAGCCCATCTTAGTTCAGCTGTACAATTAAAAAAAAATGTGTTTGGCTATTTTGAACACAAACAAAATTAAACTCGTAAGTAATAACCAGCAAACTTTTTATCACTTAAACTGTGCAAAGTAATGCATGAGGCTGTGTGCAGGTTGTTAGTGCATGATATTTTTATTTTTTTTCTCCTGCCATTAGGCAACCCTGTAAATAGGAAAGTATGCCAAGGCTGAGAAACTGCTAAATTACCTTCCTCACTTAGGCTGGAATCCAATTATCAATAAATTATGCTCTCATACTGGATGGAGCCACAAGATTATATTCATTCTTTAAATGTTTTTTGCTCCCAATTAAAATGTGTGCAGTTATTGATCTTGTTGATTTTAATGTCCTGAAATTTGCATAATCTATTAAAGATGAATGATTAATGAAGTGCTCACTTTTGCATTCCAGGAGCCCTATACAGCAAAAGCAAAGCCGGCCATGTTGTGTGTCCTCTGTTTGCCCTACAGTATATGTGAAACAGAGACGGTTTAAACAGAACAGCAGCAAATGTAGCACTTGTTTACGTGTGTTTAGTTAATCAGTACTGTTAACGCTTGTGTCCATAGATACATGTAATGATTCACCTCAGCGCTCTGAGTCGTTTCCATCTCGACACAGTTTTCTTTTGAAACACCTGATCATTTTAAGAAATCGTGCAAATCTTTTAAATTTTTAATCAGGCAGAAGCTAAGTACACAGAATAAATGATGTTTTAATACTGCTTCACCCAGTGAGAGTTTAGCGGTCTCTCTGCAAGCTGGGTTAGATAATCACTCTCAACAGAGCCTGTGGGAGGGAGAAGTGCAAATGGGCACCCCTCTGAACTCCAGCAGATGTGAAGCTGGAGCTGGTGGTTTAAAGCTTTTTAAGCTTTTTTTTTTTTGCATCTATTTCTCACCCTCTCAGAGTGACAAAAGACAAAGCTGATCATCTCAAAGAGCTGAGCAGTTTATGTAAGATGCACATTCTGGGCTTCTCCTTTCGACGTTTGCAGCTATTTCTCTGCTGAGTTGCAAACGCAGAGCCGTCGCCTAACTTGCAGTGTCTGCTGCGTGGCCTGGTGACAAATGGTCGTCTCAGCTCTGTTAACGCCTGCAGCCCCAAGCTTAGAAATTAATTCTTAACCACCACCTCCCTCAGTACTCACACTAACCTTTAAGCACACATTTGATAATGAATGACGTTAAAACTAAAGACCGTGGATGGGGAATTCAAGCTTTTACTGCAATATGTTCTTGGCTCGTTCACAACTTTGACTGTGTCTCTTTTGGTTTCAGTTTATTTAGCATCAAGTCACAACAGAAGTCATCTCAGGGCACTGAACAGAGACATTCATGTGAAAAAATTATAATTTAAGACTTTATCTGAGGAGCAGGTTGCTTTGAATTGAACTCCATCACAGAACTCTCATCTTGAGCAAGCATGAAGGCGACAGTGGAGAGGAAAAACTCCCTCATGAGGAAGAAACCTTTAACAGAACCAGAGTCAGGACAAGTAGCCATCTGCTTCAACCGTCTGGGTTTGGAAGGAACAGATACACAATGGCAGCTCAAGAATCACGTTAAGATAGAAATAGTATCAAATGAAAACTATTCAGTTGTAACAAATCATTTAAAGAAATGAGGTCAATTTGTCCTCCAGTAGTCTAAGCCTATAACAACATAACAAGCCAACCCTAACTATAGGATTTATCAAAAAGGAAAGTCTTAAGCCCAGTTTTAAAACTGGACAATGTGTCAGACTCATAGACAGAAACTGAAAGTTGGTTCCACAAGAGAGGAGCTTGATAACTTCAAGACTTAATCTTCAGGACTTAATCTTCCTCCCATTCTGCCTTTGGAAACTCTAGGGACCACGAGTAAGACTGCAGTCTGAGCATGAAGTGCTCTGTTAGAAAAATATGGAACAATAAGATCTCAAATATAAGATGGAGCTAGGTTGTTGAGAGCTTTGTAGGTTAGAAGTAAGATGTTGAATTCTATTCTGGATTTGACGGGAAGCCAGTGGAGAGAAGCTAAAACTGGAGATATATGATCTCTCCTACTAACTCCAATTAAGACTCTGGCAGCAGCATTTTGGATCAACTGAAGACGTTTTAAAGAAATATTTGGACACCCAGATAATAAACCATTACAATAGTCCAGTCTAGACATGTCAAATGCATGAAACAGTTTTTCTGCATCATTTTTAGATAAGATTTTTCTAATTTTAGTGATATTACGCAGGTGGAAGAAGGCAGTTCTTGTAACGTTTTTAATGTGGGGGATAAAAGACATGTCCTGATCAAAAATAACACCAAGATTTTTAACATTAGAACTGGAGGCCAGATTAATGCCATCCAAGGAGGGCAAAAGACTGAAAATTTTATATATAAGGTGCTCAGGTCCAAAAACCAAAACCTCAGTCTTGTATGTGTTCAAAATCAGAAAATTAAGGGTCGTCCAGGTTTTTATGTCTTTAAGACATGCTTGTAGTCTAAGTAGCTGATTGGATTCGTTAGGTTTTTTGGACAAAAATGTGTGTCATCAGCATAACAATAAAAATTTATCCCATGCTGTTTAATAACATTACCTAATGGAAGCATATACAAGGTAAAGAGTATTGGTCCAAGCACTGAACCTTGAGGAACTCCATGACTAACTTTCGTGTATGATGAAGATTCATTATTTACATTTACAAATTGGAATCTCAGATACATATTATTTAAACCAATTTAGAGTTGTTCCTGTAATTCCAACATCATATTCAAGTCTCTGCTATATAATATTGTGATTAACTGTATCATATGCAGCACTGAGGTCTAACAGGACCAGTGTAGTCACCTGCCCATTGTCAGAGGCCATGAGAATACCATTAGTAACTTTCACCAGTGCAGATTCAGTGCTGTGGTAAGATCTAAAACCTGACTGAAACTCTTTTGTCTGGTGTTATAAAATATCATACTGTTAGTGCAACAGAGCAATATATGTTTTAAAACATTTCCTGCATTTAGTTCTCTACAAACATCCCTGTTATTTTTATTAAATACTGTATATCCAAAGGAAGTTTTGCTTTGTACACTCCCAAGGAATAAAAAAAAAGTTTCCTGTTTTCTAAATGTCAACCTTTCAAAACAAGAGTGTTAACCAGCAAACGTGTGCCAGAGTTGTGGCTAAATCGGGAAGAATCACTTCGAGGATTGCTGCAGGTTCTTAACACTCCATTTCTATGGTTGATGGGGTCTGTAGATGCAGTATCAGTGGTCGAGCAAAGACAGATGCTGGAGAACTCTATACTGTCTCTTCTCTCTCAGAGATGTGTTTGCTGGGGAAAACAGGTCCCCATGGACTCTAAGTTTATCTTCCATCTCCATCATCGGTGCCTGTGATTTGACAGCATCCCGTTTTCCCGGGCGCTGCCTCGTCTCCAGGACAATAAGCAGCACCATGTCTGATTAGTTTCAGAGTTCAGTGGTCTTGAACGTAGCATTTGTATCGGTTGTTGCTGCGTTGTAACCCCAGTCTGTTTGACAACGGTTGCTCAGACTCTGAAAAAGACAGAAGCAAACTGTGGTAAATACGAGAGGTATCAAATAAGTTTGACCCAGGCCTCCTTACATGAATATGTGCTTCAGAATGGCCCATCTGAAAGCTGTTTATTAATTTTTATTTATTTTATCCAAATACTGAAGTGTAAATTCTCAAGTTGCAATATGTTGCAGACGATTTTTCAAATGCAGGTCTTTAGGGGGAACAATAAATTTATCAAAACTGGATGTGGTAGTACCTGTGTCATTTTGAACTTTCCACATATGAACCATCATTCTTATTTTGCATTTCTAACTTAAACTAACCTCTAATTCGACCGTAGTGTCTGTCTTATCAAGCAATTCCATTTTATTTTCAGAAGGTACATATGCCCCCTTGTCAATGGGAGGGGAACTGGACTTTTGAAAGTTGTAAGTTTGAAGAGTTTAACAAAGTACATATTGGTTATAATTAGCTGAGGAGCAGAATTGAGCACCAGGGATTTGCCATAAATATGACATACATGGACTGGGCATGTGACATAGTTTCAGTCCAACCAATTAAATGCAAAGCAGACTCATTAAAACATTTCTGTTCATGCCCGAAAGTCAAAGCAACTAGTTTTTTAATGATCTTTTCATATGTTAGAAATGGCATTTGTTCGAGATGACGACGGATCAGTGTTCCTCTGCCTAAATTTACATTTAGAGCTGTTAAAGCAGAGGAGATTAGAAGAAACTGCTACAAAGCCGTCAGCTGCGTTCCCCGATCCTCTTGTTTTACAATCTAAAGACTGACAGTGTTGCATCCCCCCTTCAATACAACAGCCCTTATCTTAATGAGGAACAGCAACACACAGTCCTGTTGTAAAACAACAAAGATGGGGGAAGCAGCTAATGAGGGTATCATGGTGTCGGAAAAGAGCCATCTTAGGCCCCAGCAAACAGAGCGGTCTCTGCAGCATGGCATGGAGCGACCAGAGACAGAGCTTACATTGATCGCACAGGTTTAAGAGACAGAACCGGATGAAATGAACGGTGCCAAGACTCATCAGCCAAATTAGATCAGAGTGTAGCATTTTGAACTGTCTTCAAGCCAATTGTTTGGTTATTTGTGGGAGCGATTCTGCTGCGAGAAAGCAGCCGTGAGATTACACTGTTTGTTTTCTCAAAAACCTTGGGGAAATTTTTTATGCATTTGAGCTTGATTGATCAGGCGCGATGTGTTGTTGCAACATTTCACTGGTGTATGTTTACGCTCAGCTGAATGCATCACTGCTGGGTGCATATGAGATTATTATTATAAGCTATGTAAATGAACAAATCAAATACTAAAGACTTTTTCTCTGTTTAGTATTCATGTAAAAGTTCTGGTTTTGATTCTTGAAGATAGGGTGGCACACTTTTTGTGATGTTCCACAGCCTTTAAGGTCACTTTGACTTATAAAATCTGACTGCATCTTGTTATCTGTGATACCGACTGCTTCTGAAAATGACAAATCAAACCATTTTTAATTTGAAATGATTAAACCTTCCATTTTACCACTCATATGTGTGACTGACATAAATGTATACCGAATGTGTGGTGTTGAATGTCTGCATCCCATCAAGATTCTTTCTTTCTTTTTTTTTTTACCTGCCAGACTCTCATCCGTCATATCAGCCTTCCATGTGTGTAAAGCGGGAGCCCCATGAGGCATCCTTTGCCCCCTTCACCCCCTCCTCTGTTGGGGATTCTGCTCTAGCTGACATCTTGCCCCACCAATCCAGCCTCTCTGTAGATGCCTCTACTCCCAGCTACCTTCCCCATGCCCATGGCCCCTGCTACAGCCAGTATACCAGCCAGCCTTTCATAGCAGGTACTACTTTACATACATGGCCCAGAATAATAAAAAATAATCACTTTCATTCTGTTCATCTAATTTTATATAATCTTTTTTCATTTATACCCCTTTACCCCGCCTCATGCTGCTTTCACAGCTCTACTGTTGTGTATACAGGAGCTAAACTGACTGTTTGGCCCTAATTAGAAGCAGCTACTCTTTTTTTCTCCTTTTCTCCACATCTGACCCCTCGCTCATCTCTCAAGTTCACAAAAGAGGCTCCAACGCTTCAGGCGTCGTGACAACCTCAAGGTCTAGGGGAACCAGAGTAGGTTCGAAGAGAGAGAGAAGAAGGCTGCAAATGCAGAGATCCTGCTGCATGCAGGGGCCTGCCCTGTAGTCACAGTACCCAAACCTGCACCCCCTCCCCTCCCCCACCACCACCACACCTCTAATCCAAAAGACCTGAAGCTGTCACTGTTAATTAAAAGTCTGAATGTGGAGCAGAGCAGAGAGCTCTCATTGGCCCAGTGCTCCTGTCAGGTTTAGCTGCTTAGGATAGAAGTTAATAACTGATACATTGTTCCAGTGTCTGATTAGATAATCAATGCAAATAACTTCACTCCAACTTACTCGCAAACTACCCTGTGAGAAGAATAATTGTGAAATGTCATTGTCAGAGACAGCGGTGCTGCTATTTATTGCCACTGAACATGCTTAATTATTTTACTTAGGCTTGTTATTTCTTTTCCTCTGTGAGTATGAGTGTGTGTGTACTTTTTTCAGTAAATTAAATTCTTTATGTAGCAAACGTAATCCAAAAAATACGTTGATTTTGCGTTATAAAAGTGTGTGTAAAGACAAATTACATACACACAGATAATTTAGAAACTGATTTCTGAAAATATACCAGTAGTTGGTTCCTTAATTGATGTACTTGACATATTTGTGAAATCCTCAACAACTGTGTTTTGTTTTCTTGTATAAAACCGTGTTACCTGATGTAAACTAAAATATATGATAACATATATATGTCTACATTCTTATTTTTGTCTTGATGTACAAGACAAAACATCAAGTGCAAGACACAAACGGTACCTTTTCTGTTTCTGTCCATTCGTACATAATTAATTTAGACTTTACTTATCAAATATTTGAGTTTTTTTTTTACCAGTTTTGTAATTGATTGGTAATATTTTATAAAGTGCTTACAAATCCACAAATAACCTATTTATGAAGCATTAATACATTTATTTTAAAGTGACTTTATAAAGTGACCATTATTGTGAAGTGATGTGTTTCTTTTTCTTCCTTCACGATGGCGTTGGAATATTAACTCTGAACTGCTGTCTGATTTTATAAAAATGGAAATATACAGTCAGAGTCAGAGTTTCTTTATTGTCATTCGCACCACATGTGGTACATGTGGTGGAACGAGATTGTGTACACAGGGTCCCAGTTACATCCAACAATAAAACGTAAAAGAAAAACAATAATAAGATCTAAGATATGAACTAAGAAAAACATCAACTAAAAATACGCTAAGCACTAATAGCATAAAAACTATATGCCGAACAGCAGCAACAGATTTGATATACATGAGCGTCAGAGTACTGTAATGCATAGTGTTTCATTGTGTATGTGTGTGTGTGTACCTGCAGGTCGAGACATGGCCAGCACCACCTTACCTGGTTACCCACCTCACGTCCCCCCCACAGGACAAGGCAGCTACCCCACATCCACACTTGCTGGAATGGTTCCTGGTAGGTGTTGCTGCTTCCTTCTCACCATGCTGATAGCTCAACTGTAAACTGTTATTTCCCCTTAATCTTCTTCAGATAATCTGAGGCATGCTGACAAAAATAATAACAAACGTGAAAATTCATCAGTGACGGTGAAAGCCCCTTAAAGCATCGCTCCTGGACTGAAGCGAGCTCGTTATAGCTTTAGATGACTGCGGTTAGCATGCGGTTAGCATCAGTGGATGAGAACATTAGATGAACTCGATAGGCGATCACCACAATCAGTGGCCGTGAGATAGGACAGTTCCTCTCAGTTACACTCCAGCTCCCAGCACTCATTACCTTCGCCGTGTCCACACAGAGCACTCTCACCAGCCCCGTCGATAAACACCTCTTTTGCTCCTCTCCTCGCCTCCACGGACACCCAGGGCTACAGAGCGTATCTCTTTCCCCTCTACTTAACCTGCAGTTCAGGTTCACAGCAAACAGTTAAGGGTCAAAACACAGAGGCGTGGAGGGCCTGTAAATATTTAAATCACTATCTCTCTCAGGGATGAGCTCGGGTTACACGACCAGAAGTGAGGATGCTGTATAGCTGCCAGCGTGTGTAAATCTGTCCTCCAAACGACTGAAAACACAACTCCTGCTATTGTTTAAAAGGCGTCCACCCCTCACACTGACCAGTGATCAAAGCAGCCTTGTAGCATTTTACGAGTCAGCTCAGTCAGGATAATTTCTTTTTAGGTTGCATGCAACTAGGAGTGTTTATGTTACATAAAAAAGAGAAACCACACAAACACCTTCATCCAGGATTAGATTTAGAGTGTGGCCTACAACAGGGTCAAAGCAAAGACCATTTATCAGCAGTTTGATATTAAACTTGGCCTTTATAGTCTCATAAAAGAAAGAAACTTGTGGACCTTACAGCATCTACCTGTTTCTTCTACTATGAAGTGTGCAAGGCAAAAATAAATGTGATTTAATTAGGGGTTCTCAAACTTTTTGGGTTCAGGGACGCCTTACAGGGGAGAAAAAGTTTCAGGGACCCTCTCATAACCCTCATGTTTATTAAATTATTTTCTTCAATTTGTCTCTTTAATGCAATGGAGATATTTGTGTAACATGAATACTTGAGACTTGTTCTTTAATAGTGTTAATACATTTTTTATACTTTTAAGCATGGGTTATTTTTCATTCAAGACACACTTAATTAACAATTTGTTATGTCAACTTCCAAACATGACAGTTTTGAGAACATTAACAACATCAAAAACTACTTTAAAACTTTACCTAGTCACACAATGAACATAAATGTATCGCCACGTCTTCAAATTATTACAGAACACTCTTTACATGAAACTGAACAGAATCATAACAGCAGTAGTCAAACCAAGTAACAGAGCTTCATTTGTAAATTGATCAATGCCAGAATGCAAATAGTGGGCGGGCTGGGGTGTCTGGGGGTCCTCCCCCAGAAAATTTTGAATAAAGTAGATGTGATTTCCTGACTTTTGATGTATTTGAACAGGTTGTTAAACATCTACATGCTTGTAAAACTATATATGTATATAACAAAAAAGGTTGAATCATGTCATCTGGACTTCGTTTTTTTTGTTAAAAAGAAACGTTTCGCCCCTCATCCAAGAGGCTTCGTCAGTCTGAGGCCTAGCCATCTGGTATTACCCAGAAGCCACCCTGACTCTTGTGTTTCAAGCCTGCCTCAGATACCCCTGAAGTCTGGCCTTTTCACTAATGGTTTCAAAAACACAAAGTTTGTTTGTTTGCCTACCAGATGGCTAGGCCTCAGACTGACGAAGCCTCTTGGATGAGGGGCGAAACGTTTCTTTTTAACAAAAAATGAAGTCCAGATGACATGATTCAACCTTTTTTGTAGTTATATACCTGGATGACTGAGAAAACAAACTTTGTATAAATCCCTATAGTTACCCTTTTCAGCATGTTCCACCCCTTAA